GGTAGCCGACATTGCAAGTTACAGCCTAGTTTTAGTTCCATTTCCGCGCTTTTTTTTATCACCACCCTTCACCACTTAGAGTTGCACTACAACGGAAGCTAGGGAAGCTACCTAAGCGATAATGCTTAAAGAGCACAGTGATGCTTCCTTATAAAGTACTTTATTCATTATAAAACAGGTTTTCCAATTGTACGGGGCCGTGTAGATCTGCTACAGGTTCCAAAATGGTCAGATTCAAACTGTCAGACAGTCACATTTCCTCCATACCGGTTTTATCCGGACAAACAAGTTCATGTTCAAATAACGGTCAATCACATGAAGCTGAATGACTCTATGACAGTCCACGACGCTGTTACTTCATGGACAGAAAGTATCAACACAAAAAACTTCACCGTCTGTGTCATGCAAACCGGGAGAAAAGAAGAAGGCGCGAATCCATTTGCCACCATTGATTGGGTAGCTTATCAAGGAGCACCACCCGAAGGACTGACGGGAACGGTTGCAGAAATGGTGGTCTGGTACCAACTGCGCAGATGTAACCTTTCTTACGGTGAGATGAGAATTTACATTTTAAATTAAATAATTGTTGCAAATTCAATTGAGGTCTCCATGACGAATGTTATACTTTCATTCTTGTGACATCTTTAATCCAGGTCTTGAAAAAAAAAAAAAAAACAGCAACAACAACAACAACACCGAAAACAGCAAAAAAACAAAACAAATAAATACTAAATAATTGGGTCTTGTGACCCTTAGCCAAAACCAGGAGCCCATCAAATTTGATTAGGTGGGCTCCTGCCAAAACATGATAGATTTAATCACGACTTGTCTGCGTAACAAAAGAAAAACATCAAGAGCGAAACTGTGAAGGAGAGACCTCCTTAACATCCATTTCAACAAAATGAAGCGCTCATCTGATACAAGGAAGCAGCTTATAAGAAAAAAAACAAAACAAAACAAAAAAAAAACACAAATATTTGTTTATCAATTTGAATTAACTGAATGTGGAAATACAAGAATTCACATCTTAAGTTAAAGAACATATTAAAACTTTCCTTGAACTAGAAAAATGAGACACAAAGTTAAGAAAAAATAATCGATCATTACGAGTTAACTGGGGAGATGATTGCTAGATCCTCTAAAAAGTTGTGACCGACTTAGCGACTTAGTTAACAAAACAACATTAGGTAACAAGTAAGTTTGGGAACTTACTTAGTGGTTAGTTTCAAGTAATTTTGCAGCAATATAAAAAAAAAAAGCTGTTTCGATTATTGTTATTGCTTTTTCTTCAGGGCAAGTTTGCCGAGGCGCCAATAGTCCTTGTGACGTCAGAGCACCTGAGGACTGGTAAAGAGTATGATGCTGCTCTCATTTGGATTGAAGACGTAACAAAGGACTCAGTTAAAGTCTGTCTTCGTGAAATGCAAAACTTTGACGGTAGACACCAAGATATCACTGTGGTACGTTCTTGGTCAGATTTTAAAAAACTGGAACGCGACTGTCCACCAAATTTGTGAGGAATGCTGGTCTTGTTAAAAATAATAGTGGAGCTCCACTCGCGCGCGAAACGCGCGCGTGGGCGAAGCCCCATAGCTAAGGAAATGTGGTAATCTACCCATCCCAGTAAATTTGGTAATCACGTGACCGTACAACGAGCGAGCGACCGTCCGTCCGCACCACAGGCATACCAATGTAAAATAACTCAATCAACAGGTATGGGAACCGAAATGCAACTCAAGGTTTTTTTGGAAGGAAATCACATGGTCGCCCGGACTTTTAGAAAGAAAAAAGTCTTGTCTTTTTCGGCGTTCTTTTTTATGTGTACACTAACGTGGATAACAGAGAAAGAGCTAGAGCGAGTTATTGAAAATTCGTAGGAAGAAAAACATGAAAAGTCAAAGCGGCGGTGAGAAAATGAGAAATGCTAGCGGCCAGCAAGGTGAAAATGAGCGGCAGTGAAAAATAAAAGCGAACATGAACACTGGAAACAAAATATTGGGTAAGCACATACGACAATTTCTCCATAAAAATAGTGTGTAACTAGGAAGTTTGACGTTTTAGTCGTACAAAACAGCGTTGTAGTCGTGCAAAACAACTGCAAGGGAAAGACAAAAAAGCGTGCTGAATTGTTTTTTGCTAATTAGAAGAAAAAGTGTGCTGCACGTGCAATTTGTTTTTTTGCTAATTAGATCTATTAGTCTTGAAGCCATTTTCATTGTCGTCCCCCGTTTAGCATTACACGATTTAATTTTTTTTTTTGCTTACACGTATTTTTAACCAGAGCTTCGCTTTTAGCCCTGGCTAAATCTATATATTAGCGTTAAGAGGAAAAAGTATTGCTAAGTAAAGATTGTCCGGGCGATCGCGAGTGATGATCAGTCAAATGATCAGTCAAACGAAAGGAAATGCAGAAAGAAAAACATAAAAAGAAACGGAAATAATAATAATAATAATAATAATAATAATAATAATAATAAGAAGAAGAAGAAGAAGAAGAAATGAATTGAATAGCATTACACAAATTGGTCTTCTTTGTCCCTATGTCTCTCTTTACGCTCTTACGTGATTCGCCTGATGTCTTAAAAAATGTGGATTTGCATCCTTTTCTTGACTCTTTGCGCTCTTTGTTATGTCACAACTTCATAGAGTTCAAAATACTTAGATTGGTGTAATGCGATTCTGTCACAAGATGGGTGGCATCACTTTTGTTTTTACCTCTTTTCACAGAACTGGTTTGCCTTCTCTAAACTGCACAAGCCTCTTTTCACCGAACATGGTGTCATAAGTTTTCCAAATACGAACCCACCTTTGGATAAAATGAACAATGCTTATTGCCAGGTGAGAAAAGAATTCTTTGCAAAAGCAGTGAGTAGCATGCTGTTCACAGCATTTTCCCTGACAGATAGATCGCTTACTTACATCACTGTTTATATCTTCAAAACACTTTTAGTCATATACACTTTACGCAATAGAGATCAAAGTGACTAGAAAAGTAAAGAAGCTGGTCCACTAAACAATACTTTAAGACAAGAGGTCAAAAACTACAGACTGATAACGTCCCTCTTAAACATCGACAAAGTATTTGAGCAACTGCAATGTAAACAGGTGACTGTGAAACTCGACCACATCTTCTCTAGCCTAAGCAATGCTTACAGAAAGGGACACAGCTGTGAGACCACTCTACTACGTCTGAATGAGGACTGGAAGCTAGCAATAGACAGAAAAGAGCTAGTATGTATTCTATCGACTGATATGATTAAAGCGTTTGACTCTCTCAGCCACTTGCCGACACTAACAAAGCTTGAAGCATACGGTTTTGAGTACTCAGCGTTGGACCTCACGCGATCATTCTTTAACAACCGCCAAAATGATCAACCCCCTGCTCTGGAACGTGTTTCAGAATGACCTGCCCTGCTCCATAACTACCGCTAAACTTTCGATCTATGCGGACGACCACCAGTTGTACACCTCAGGAACTAATTTTAGAGCTGTAGCGGAAGCCTTAGAGCAGGAAGATCAACTTGCAGCGTCTTGGTATCGTGATAATTTTCTACTCCCAAATCCTGACAAATTCCAGGCGATGATCCTTTATAATAGAAATATTAATATTGACATTGAAGGCTAATACACTGATATAAGCATAGATGGTAGGGTCATTACAAACATAGATTACATCAAACTACTTGGCGTCCACATTGATTGCAGAACGAACTTCAGTGGTCATATTAGCTAACTGTGTAAGAAAGAGTCAGTAAGAAAGTAGGGATCCTAATGCACCTGCGCAATCTTGATCCCTGCACAGCTGTAAGTCTTCCATAAGTCTTCCATCCTGCCTTACTTTACCTACTGCCAGCTGGTATGGCACTTCTGTAAGGCCTCCAACAGGAGGAAAATAGGACGTCTTCAAGAACGTGCCTTAAGAGCGGTATACAGAACTAAGTCTGCCTCTTACCAGACACTACTAAAATATCAGGACTACCCACGTTGCAAAATGGTAGATTGCAGGATATAGCAATACTTATGAACTCAAGAACAACCTCGCCCCTACCGACTTAGCAGAACTTTTTAATTTAAATGATTCGAGGTATTCTCTGCGAAACAAGGACTTTCATTTACATACCAGATTCAATATTGTAACCTACGGCAAACATTCATTTCGTTACTTTGGACCTTTACTATGGAAGAGACTAAACAACAACGTCAAACAATCACGCCTAGTCTTCAGTCTTTCAGGAACGCTATCAGAAATTTAGATATTTCTGGTATTTTTTATTATTTTTTTTATTAGCTTCGCCCAAAAAAAAAAAAACACAAGCAAACAAACAGAAAGAACGTTGGCAGGGACACCGCAACAGCTGTGGCCAATTACATTGGATCAAGATACAAATAAAAAAATCAAAGCAAGAAATATTAGAAAACACAGCGATACAAGAAAAACTACAACTACATACAACAAGTTATTGGAGGAGACAAAGGAAGAGCACTGTTACATTTTAAACAGATAGACTTGAACGAACGTGGATCTTCACAACCATAAGAAACAGCTAACGCGGACTTATAATAATTGAAAATAACCGATTTAAAGGAAGCTAAGGTCGATGAGCTCAAATCTATTTCATCCAATAAAACAATTCCAAAATTCCACTAGTTCTAATGAGAAAGAATTTCTGGTACGTAGTAGTTTTACATTTGTTAATTATGTATTTATTAACATTGCTGGTTGAGGATTAGTCCGTCTACCGTATTTGCGAACTTCAGGTAGGACAGAGGAGTTGACGTTCAAGACCGTGTGTCAATTTGAAAAACAAGGTTAGATCTAAAAGTTCATGCCAGTAGCAAATAGGTATTAGATTAAGAGTTTGGAAACGAGACTTATAACTTATATTAAAAGGCAGTTTTAACATAAACTTAGTCGTTCAACTTTGGACACGCTCAAGCTTGACGATGAGTTCGATGGACTGCGGGACCCAAATTTGGGTGGCGTACCCCAAATCTGGCCTAACTAAGGCTACAATTGTAGGTATAGCGTTCGTCTTACGTCGGTTCTAAGAGTGAACCTCGTGTTCCTCTTTAAGTATCCAAGTAGTTTATGAGCACGCAAAGATTGTTCGTTTAGTTGTTTGTACCATGTCAGATCCTTACTAATCCATTCGCACAGATCTTTTTCTGCAACATATAATTCAAGTGCGGTGTTGTTGAGTTTGTATGAGGATAAGATCGGCCTTGTTTTCCTTGTTATGTGCTGCGCCTTATACTTAGCTTCGTTAAAAAGGAGACCGGATGATTGAGACCAAGTTGCAAGCTTACCAAGGTCTTTCTGGAGAGAAGAGGCATCCCCCAAAGTCTTGATCTCTCTGAATATTTTTGTGTCGTCAGCGAACATCAATACTCGACTAATAGAACTGATGACTTTGAAAAGGTCGTTGGCGTATAAGAGGAAGAGGGCTGGTCCAGAGGTAACAGGAAGATCCTCTGAAGTGGCGCCGAGTACCGTAACGCGTTGGCGTCGACCTGACAGGTAAGAGCAGAACCAGTTAAGCAGGTGCCACCGAAACCGGCCTGGATTAGCTTATGGACGAGGCACCTGTGACTGACTTTGTCGAAAGCTTTAGACATATCAAAGTAGATGGTGTCAACCTGGCTGCCACTATCTAAATTAGTGAACCAATGTGGTCAACAGCCTCAAGCAGGTTGGTGATGCACGATCTTCCAGTACAAAAACCATGTTGTTTAGGTAAAATTACATGGTACAGGTGGTCCTTGATGCTATTCAACACACAGCGCTTGGACACTGTTGGGAGTAGAGAGATGGGGCGGTAATTTTCCTCGTGGTCTTTTGCACCCTTTTTGTAGACACGCACGACGTTAGCTAGTTTCCAGTCACTCGGGAGAGACCCTAGTTGCAGTGATTTGTTGAAGATCTTACATAAGGAAGGAACAATCACTGAGGTAGTCTGTTTGAGCAATTTAGCAGGGATTTGGTCCGGCCCTGTGGCTTTACCGACTTCTAGTGCTTTGAGTGCAGCTAGAAACTTGGACTCATTGAGAGTTAGATCGGATATAACAGTGTCCGAACGTATGCACGCTGTCTTCTCCACTGCGCTGTCGATAGTAAATACAGAGGCAAAAAACCTGTTAAACAGGTCAGCTATTCCCGCAGGTGTATCAGCACTTAATCTTGAAGGGTTTTGTGACTGGTCAGCGGGAGAGTCTGGGACGGTTACCATGGAGACATGGTCTGGGATGGGATGAGATTTAGAGTTAAGCTTCAAATTGACCATAAGTGCTTGGGATTGAATCTAAAGCCAGTGTCAATGGAGTCGTAAAAGCGATCACGGCTTTCGCGAAGCAGTTTCTTGACTTGCGTCCGCAGAGAATTAAATTTAACCGTCAGGCCGGCGTTCGGATGTGATTTAAGTTTTTGGCGAACTGAGTTCTTTTTTTTGATTAGTTTTAAAGTGTTACTATCTATACAAGGAACCGGGTAACGGCCTTTCAGTCTCTTCGATGCTACGAAAGTCCTTGACAGCAGCTAGTAATAAGTCCTTCCGGCACCGCCCGTCATCATCTATATTTTTATGGCCCACAATAGAAGAAAGATTGATTGCCGAGAGAGCTTCACGCAAACCATCAAAATCGCCAATTGCGTAGTCGTAGTCGTAGACAAATTTGCGCGGGTGTGAGGACGCATTAACAAAAGAATTGTACTCAAACAGGACTACACAATGATCCGTAAAAACACCGGCTTTACCAGGTGACAACTTTGGTGTGTTCTGGGGCACTTCTTATCACTAGATCAAGAATGTTACTACCGCGAGTCGGTGTGTGGTTAGTTTTCGTCAAGAAGTGGTCACGTAACGCCTCGATAAATGGCAGTTCGTTAGCACCTAAAGCGCTATCCACGGAGTCCCAGAATAATAATGTAATCTTCTGATCAAATTGAGGAGAAAATAACTGTGACTGTTATGACCTTTGCAGATCCTAATTTTATGATTTTAAGATTTTTAAGATTTAAATATGTATTATTATGAATTACTATGTATTTTAGATTAGTGTGCCCAATTAGAATATATCATTATAATTAGTATTATCAAGGATTATTATTATTATTATGTAATTTTAAATACGTGTCCCCAATTAACCATATACGTTTGACACTTAAATAAAGTTCTTATATCTTATTATATTGTTATAAGACATATCAAAATATCAAAATGGCAGCTTGTTCTGTTAAAATGATTAATCGCAAATATTGCTTGTTCAGTTGGGACTTCAAAAATAAACACATTGACGGGAACTGAAGCTTGAAGTGATTAAGGAACAGTGTTAAACGTTTTACGTTTCTCTTCCATGGCAGTTCGTTTCATTCACGAGAGCTTATAACTCGACTCCAACAGTTCTTGTCTCAGCCAATCACAGCACGACGGCATCTGGGAATTCAGCACCAAATCACAACGGAATTACAACTTGGATCGAGGTAAAGTTTTCCGTAATTGGGGGGGATTGTGGGGATGTATCAAGGCAAACAAACTTCAAACCAAAAATCCAAGAAAGATATAACTGAACAGAGAAGCACGCTTGGTTGAGGCGATGTATTGGTCGATAATAGGTGTGGCGCAAAAATGTGCCTAGTGAAGTTGAGATTGCTTATCGGCTTCCTTTTGATGTTAATTATCGAATACGATTGTGGTGTCGGTACAAAATAATATCTTTAAATTATCAGCAGGGACCGCGCGCGGTGGTCTCGAACTTCAGATCTGATTCTGCGGTTTTAAACGTTACTTTAGAGCTCTTTCCTTGGACACGAAACTTTGCTCCCATCATTCATCAACAGGGATATTTAGCTCCGTCCTTCTGGGCCTCATAGCTCATTTGTGCCACTGCCTTGCCCCTTATTAGGGTAAAAAGGATATTTTGGATAAAATTTCGAACATTAATTCACCATATATTTTTTTATACCTTTGTTATTTCTAAAGAGTTCTTTAATTACTTTCATCAAACCACATTGCTAATTCACGGCGAATCTTCGCATCTCTATACATAAGAAGACGTAGGAGAACGTTTTAAAAATATTCTGGTATTCTCTTCCTGCTAATTCAGTTGTTTATGACTACAATTTTAGCTGTACTAAATTACGTTGAGTGCTTATTTTTTTTTTTCAGAACATGAATACCTCTGGATTCAGAGCCTGTGTCAAGGAATTATACGGGACCAGATATGACCCCTTGTCCGTCAGTTATGCCGTGCTCACAGGTCTGTAATATTACTGAGTTCATGCATTTATGAAGTAGTTTTTAGCAAATGAAAAAAGAAACTTTATTTGTTACCGGATTCATCTGGAAATACTTTGGAAATGCCATAAACTAATAACACAATGCAAGTTGATGGTTTTGCAAGTCATGGCGGAGTCAAGAGAGTGTACCTGTTGACATAAAAAAAGATTCTTGAAATTCTTTCAAGTTATAATTTTCCTACCCCTTGAAGAATTTAACCGTTTAATTAAAAGTTTTCTTAAAGGATGAATAACGAGGATGAAAGACCTTGCTAGAAATTAGAAGCACCATGCTTAAAACAATCGTTTGAATTTTTTGTTTCTTTAAAATAGTACAGTCTGTACATAAAAGTTCGATATATTTTATCTCTATGCAAGTGGTATATCCCTGTCGCTAGTCTTCTATCCAATAATATCTTATTAGTACCTTGAAACCATTAAGTTTTGGAAAACATTTTCTCATCACACTCCTAACAGTACTGCGAGTGACATGCTGCTAAGGATTTATCAATCCGGCAGTTTATTTGAATGAATATATTTTTGACGCTTACGTTTATCTGTATTTCGCAGACATCTGTGAACCTGGCTGGAACTATTTCAACGGCTTTTGCTATTTCACAAGTAAGACTTGTCAAAACTGGACCACAGCACTGGATAAATGCCGACAAGAAAACTCGGTCCTTGTTGATGTCCAAAATAACGGAGAAAATGTGTTTTTACAGCATCTACACAATGGAGCAAAATCCTGGCTGGGATTCAATGATATTTTCACAGAGGGCTCCTTTACTTGGGCAGATCGTGGTACTGGGAACTTTACAGCTTGGGCTAAAAACCAACCGAACAATTTTCGGGATGAAGACTGTGTGCATACACTTGGTGTTGAATATAAATATGAATGGAATGACGTGAAATGCAGTGACTGTCATCAGTATACTTGTAAGAAAGGTAAGATATGATGTATAAGTTTAGGAATGCATAAGATAGAAGAAAGTCTACTTAACAAAACGCATTGTGATGTGTTAATCGTGATTAATATATAGTTTTTTTTTTCATTTTGAACAGATCTGAATGAATGCAGTAGGGACAAGTATTACTGCCATCAGGTCGCCAGCTGCACAAATTATCGTGGTTCATTTACTTGCACTTGTGATCAAGGCTACTTTGGAGACGGCTTTGAGTGCGCAAGTATGATCAGATATGAAATTGCAGCACTGCATGTTAATGATGAACAGGAAGTTGATTTATAGTAATCTATTCTCACTGGAGCCATCAGCAAACAATGCCCATAATCCCAATAATATATGGGAGACCCAGCCGGAGACGGTAGGAGCGGGGAGCTCCTGGTAAACAGATAGTTCTTCAATGCGGAGAAATGGGTGGGGCGTGTAAAGAAGTGTACGAAACACCGAAAAGACTGAGCAGGCTATTAATTGCGAAGGGAAACTAGCGTTATAAAAGAAACCCACCATGTACAAAAAAGGTATAGGATAGCCACGGGCTATACGCAGCGCGCTAGTATCACTCTCTTTTATTGCTGAGTTCTTATGTTTTCAATGGCCATCATTCAGTGGCTTCTACTGCTTACATGCAACGTCTAAATTTTCGAGTGTCTTTTTATGATTTCCCAAACTCCCATTCTAAACGACACGCTATGGAGAAGAGTAGCTGCGCAGGCGGCATGGTTACCTCCTCCTTCTTACGAGGCTAAAGTTTGCTTTTTAATTTGGTGGCTTGGTTAATATTTTGCATATTCGGCCTTATTATTACCCCTAGTTTTAGACTCTTGTTGTGAGGGAAGTAATTCGAGGGTTGATAGTATTGTCTTGCAAGGTAAGAATCCGATTCGCACTGAAAAAGAGCTTTTAAATTCCCGGGTCCGTTCCTTCACTTTCACTATTAACCGCCGCCCGATTAGCTCAATTGGATAAGCGCCGGTCTGCCAACCGGGAGGCCACTAACTCAGGAGTCTTTAAATTACTGAGGAGAAATTGTTTCCCCTGAAAAGACATCTGCAAACGGTTAAACTTTTTAGTTTTCTCAGATAAGGGCAATAAACCGTAGGCCCCGTCTCATAACCGTCTCACATACATTATTTTGGGACGTTAAAGAACTCACGCTCTGTTCGTAAATAGCAGGGGACCTGTTCTTCGGTGTTGTGGTCTATCTCCCATGGTGGGCGGGACTGTTATGGGCCTTCGGGTAATAAGCGCTGCACCCTGTTGCGGTGACCCTGCCCAGAATTAGTGAACCAAAGGAAATAAATTAGTGATAACTTTGTCTCTAACTTTTGTAGGGGGTTTGAAACAGTCTACTATTGTGGGGAATGATGCTAACTACTTGCAATATTTAAGCACCTGGCTCAAACCAGTTGCTCAGAGCAAATATTCACGATGGAAGCGTTGTTGGCGGGCGTCCGTGGACGGTTGGGCTGCCAGTACTTTTCATAGCCGTTGTGACAACAAAGGACCAACTGTAACAATCATAAGAGTCGGCGGGAAATACATATTTGGAGGCTACACTAGCCTCTCATGGGGTAAGAGGTTTGGTTTTTCTAAAACTGGACATTCTAAAATTGTCTAAGGAAGTATTTGAAGTAGATAATGTTATTACCACGAAAAGGACTAAAAAGAGTGCATTCACGCTGTTTCAAACTTCATCGCCCTTATTCTTTTTCGGTCAATTCGCCAAATGCAGGAGAATTATTCTGGGTTTAAATTCGAAAGGTTTCTACCAAATATTAGAACAAGAAAATCGTTGTCTTGTGTTCACGTACCCCATAAAACTAAAATTGGGACGTTTTACGTCGTATTCGTGCAGCGAATTCGCCGACAATTAAATTCTGTGCTGACGTATTTTCTATCCGGAGTTGTTTATGTTTAAAGTGTTTTTTAGGCAAAGTATTCCACTCAAGTGCCGTAGTAGTTTAAAAAATCAGCGAAAATGACTCGAAGGCGATTGTGAATTGATGAAGGCTTAAATTCCTAAGGCTTCCCTTTCCTGCTCTTAAAACTGAAATGAAAACTTTATGTAAAAAGTGCAAATTAGGTAGGGAAAAATTATCACTTCTAATAAAGTCTTTTCTTGAAAAATAAACTAAGAGAGCATTTTGATCAAAGCTACGTATACTGATCTCAACCTAGATAATAACATGAAATCTTTCTACGTCTCCTGTTTTTTATCCCACCAATTGTATGACGCACGCTTAATTCTATTTTAGCGCACAGCCAGTCTATGCAGTCGATGCCCAGGCACTACCACGATTTTAAATGTTCTTTTTTCAAACTATTTTTTTTGACTCATTTTAAATCTTTTAAATACATTTTGTACCTCTTTCATTTAGAGTCTCATCCTATCTTTTATAGAGTTTTTATTGTAGTTGTATATTGTAAGTAATTTTATCCTTATCTTTCATTTTAGTTCTACATCGTAATCATTTTCACACGGTCCCTCAAGAATTGAGCTTTAAGTGTTTAGAGTTTAAGTAAAAGAAATGATGATGATGATGTTGATGGTGATGATAATGATAATGGATTATGAGTAAAAAGCTTCAATCTGTATAAATCGGTGTATTTAAAAAAGCTACCCAAAGACCGAGGATACAATTAACCAACATCATTATTCACTCAAAATATTTCTCCGTTTCTGATTGGCTAAAACCACACGCATAACTCACCATAACCAGCTACTGTTGACTAAATTTGGGAGAATTTTGCAATTAATCAACCGGTGACGTCAAAAGTGCGGGACAGTTGCAGGTTAATGCACCTTTAACCGAGAAGACGTGGGGACGAGGTTGAGTTGTTTTTGTTGTGAAAAGAAAGAACAGTCGGCGGAACATTTTACTATTTTCACGACGAACTATTGTCTAAAAAAAGCAAGAAGACAACCCGACGAATAACATCTGCTATTTGGAGTGTATTTGCAGACCTGAACAGCCCTTTAACTTCTAAACATGCACTATCGAGGTGAACTTAACATCGACGAAGGTAAGCATGTTTTAGCTTGTTTTTAAAATAGGAATTATTTGGAATGAACATTAAAGCAATTAATGAATTCGGCTTTCGCTGGATATATAACAATTATTCACCGAAGTGGAGGAGGCTAGTGGTAAAATAGTGAGATAATTGAGCACAAAAATGATTTTTAACTCATTTACTGTTGCCAACGATTACAATTTTCACGCAATGACAGAACGGCCGCGGTCGTCGCTTTTTCTTGCCGACAAATAAAACTTTTCAAGGCATTTGTTTAGCTCTTACGGGGAAATTTATTTAAAAGGAGTTGTGAATTCTTTTTGTATTTAAAATCATACTGTAAAAAATATTATTAAATTTAGTTTTGAACTTACTTACGAACAAGTCAACAAGTCAGAAGTGGCAAGGAGACCTAACAGAAACTATAGGAGCTTATGAGAGGTTAGGCCTCCTCGAACTACGGGTTAGAGCTGTTTAACATCAATTAAAGAAAAGATGGCGAAGAGTCGAAGATGGAAAGATTTATGAACTGTTTTCATATTTACTCACTAATTTAATCGTCTCTTTTTTTCTTAAAAGAGGAAAGGGAATGAGAGTTGATGACCTCGTTGTTAAGTGAATTAAAAAACTTATGCCCTTGAAAAAAGGGCGAGAACTTGTTAGTGTTTGTACGACAATACGGTAGACGGTAGGCCTGAATATTTACCGATAAATTCAAGGCAAAAAGACAAAGATTTACCTGTTAAAACTTCCAAACCGAACTTCGTCATCTTCTTCGTTTGTTTCGGGAACAGCTTGCTTGATTAATTGTCAAATTTCTTTGTTTGTCACGCCAGCAAAACGTGAAGGCATTTTGCACGCAACTTACGAGAGTTTGGCGTCGCTCGCTCGGAGGAACTGGAGGTGAATCAGTGAATAGCATTGGATATTCACTGATTGAGTAGCGAATCAGAGCGCGCGAAAAACACTACCCACTGTTTTAGTTATTCTAAAAGGAATTATGCAGATCTCTGAGGGTGTTATCCATCTCGGCTGATAACACCCTCTTCGATCTGCATAATTCTTCAGAATTCTTCTCAGCCTCATTCATTAATTGCTAAACATACAGAATGAGGGCTACTTTAGTGTTAACTATTACAAGTGTGTATCTCTTTTTTCACCCATTCAAGTTTCCATTGCACATATTATTTCATGTACTTTGTCACCAAAAAGCAAAACCGTACCCTAGCGTTTTTAAACTGTAGCTTAACTATAGACTACGACCAAGACAGCAGGGAGTAGTTCGGAAGGTAATTTCGAAGTACAGTGTAACCTCGGCATAACGGAGTACCAAGAAACCGGCAGAATTTGTTCGCTATATAATGAGGTTTCGTTTTATGGAGATTCTTTTCCATATATTTTACTATAACTAGGGTAAAGAAAATCGTTAGTCACATCAAGGTATTAAACATATAGAGGTTTGTTATATCGAGGTTCCACTCGGCTGTAGTAAACACAATTAAACAATTCAAGCCTTTATATCGGGGTGCCGACAGCTTAATACTATTGTGCAATTCATCGCACTTTTCAATATTTTTTGTTTTTAGCTTTTCAGATGAATACCAGTTTGAATTCTTCCTTCCAAAAGTAAATACTTAAGTAAGAATATATTTAGTATTAAAAACGCACTTTTCTCGAGACTGACATCTTTGCTACTTAAAAGGGAGTTAATTATTACTAGTAGTATCAGATATTTTCTTGTCTGTATGAATTCAAATTTTTAAACAAAGTGTGTGCGTTGATAATCCTTTTCATTTCTTAATTTCCCAACAGGTTACAGCAGTTGTCGCGGGTATCGATATGATTCGCAAGCATTTATTTTCTCGCTTATTAACAAGCCAGGATGGGCACCTGTGAAACTGCCTCAGACAGGGCAGTATAGTTCTTACAGACATTCCATTTACGACTGTTCCTCTTATGGACCTACTTTCGGTGGAGGCCACGACATTATCATTTGCGACTACGCGTCATCCAGTAGCAGTTCCTATACTTACCCTGGCCATACTTACAGCGCACCAAGTGGGTACAGCTATGGAAGCACCTTCGCCTATACATTCCTGAACGGTCAAAGTAATACCTATCATTTTACACCAGACGAGGTAGAAACATTTTACGAAACAACCTAAGAAGCGTGGCATCCTCCTAGTCTGATTTGCAAAACACTCACCTGTTATGTTTTTTTAATAATGAGCTGTCTGGTCAGATTTGGAGTAATATCAAGCTTACGTTATTTTCTTTTTGTGCTTCACCCGGCTTCCTTGAACACAATAGAGTACTTAATGATTTCAGAAGCATCTAAGCAATTCATTTCGGCAAATCGTGACTAAGGAAACCAAGTTTTGGGGGATACAATGAAGTACTACGAAGTTCAGGTCTGATATATAAATTGTATAATCTAAAAAAAAAAACGAAGTAGTTGGTAAGCGATATATCTGTAGACGTAATTATTTAAGTTTAGCTTTGAATTTTACGTTAATGCATAGCCTAATTAACTACTCTTCATAATGATTGATTAATAGTTAAAAGGGATATCAACCCTTTTTTACTGTAATCATGTCCAAGTTGTTTAATTTTAGGATGAGCCGATTACAATTTAAAGTAATTGACTTCCATAAATTTATTAAAATATGCCTTGAAAGTATGGATTGTAACAGCGGGGAACGATAAAAATCCAGTTTGTAAGTGACTTCTTGTCTTACTTATGTCTTTTGTTGATGATTTGTTGAGTGGGTCACGGCTTAGGGGTTGTATCGTCTTTTTAATGGATTTCTTGATTTAAGTGCCGTATTTTGAAGAAAGCTATGCTTGAGATAAAGCCTCCCTTTATTTTTATTCGCATCAAGAGTCCTGTTTGGGTTTAGAGTCCAACCCCTGAAGTTCTGTTGCAACATGTCATTGGCCATCTTGTGTTTGACTTGTACAACCACGTAGGATTGTGTCTCAGCTGAACTTCCTGTCCAATTTGGAAAAAAAAAATGGGTGAAAAAAATTATGAGGACGATCAAAATTGCCCAGTTTGACAGTCCAGTCCAATTTGGCTGTCAGAGGAATTTTTTGAATCCAGTTATTTCCGAATTGAACAGCGTGTAGTCCTGTTACATATACTAATTTTTGTTTTGGCCGATTGCCGCATTATAAGTGGCCAAGATAAAAAAAAAAAAAAATGTTTACTTTGTTTTGGTTTTGACCCCAACCAACCGCAACGCACGAAACCGATATCCAGATATGCTTATGTCCAGGACTGTATTTAACGTTTTTTTCTATATATCTCCACCTCTGAGCAGGATTAATTAAAACAACAGAATGACTCAGCTAGAATCTTTAACGATCGCGATGTCCGCCATTTTCCGATGACAAACTTTAAAAGATTTAAAACGTATGTGTTTGCTTTTTTGTTATTTTTCGATGCCCGAAGACTGTCAAGGAGCTGAACATACATATGTATAAACGTTTATTTTGAACGCCGGTCAACATTTAAACAACAAATATCACCATTCAGTGTTTTCTTGTTCTTCTTCAAAGTTTCAGTCACCTGACTGCTTGCACATTCTCCAGGACCGTTTGTACTTGCTACGCCACTACTGAGGGCGTTTTTCAATACAAATTTCATCAGTTTGATCAAACATCTTCCTTGTTAGATAGCCCCGACAAGAAACCAAAACCAAACAACAGCATTTGCTACCATAAAACTGACATTCACAGTTACAACAAGTTAAGACTCGGAAACGAACGAGACTTTTCTGGCGCGGTGTCAGAGGAACTTTGCGCTGATTGGCTAGTTTGTATTGCCCATTGTATTTCTGGCATTTGATTGTTTTAGACAAAGTGTCCTATTGTTTCTTAAATTGGACAGTTTGCTTATTTGTAAACGAAATTCCTATCCGAAACTATCCATAATTAATCCTTAATTCGACAGTTCGCTAAAATTAAAGGGTAATAGCTAGACTGACAATATCGGATTAACTACCAGGCCCCATTTGTTCAAAAGGTGGATAGTACTATCCACCGGATAAATCTCTATCCAGTGGATAGTGCAGTTTCCGTAATACTTATCCACTGGATAGAGATTTATCCAGTTTTTGAAAAACTGAAAACCAGAAACCAGCCAAGGAACAGAACGTTCCAGGAGGAGACAAGTTTTAAGCCAGAGGAACAAGCCATCGTTCCAAAAATGAACGGAAACGACAAAAGATCAGCACAAAAACAACAGTGTCAAGAATTGCTAATATCTTGCGGTTCATCTGTTCCCGTCGATGTTAATTTGACGAGAGTTGGCTGCCAGGTGCTATTCTATGGAGTGTTTCAGTTTGAATTTAATCGCAGCGTAGATGAGGATGATAGCAATACCACGGGGTAGCAAAATAATAAATGAATGATAACGGAACCAATGATTCCAAAATTAAAGGTACAAACATGGAAGTCCGGCTTGAATTCGACTAAAGTGGTCATTTTGAATAACGGCACCTTGAAAACGATCGCAAAAATCCAAATGACGCCAATCAGAACCGGGCGATACGAAGAGTTATCATTCTCTTGAGTGGATAAAACACCAGGACATATCGATCCAAGGCAGTCACGAGCAAACTTCCAGTGGAGACTAAGACTGACATTTGACCAATAAACTGTAATAATCGGCAAAGCAGCTCGCCTGCGACATCCGTGATAAGCCACTGGTGACTATATGCAGTGTCGACAATGCGGGAACGGCATATACAGTGAGCAAAACATCAGCACAGGCCATGTTAAAGATGACGTAATTGCTTGGAGTCCTCGTTCTTTGATTAGCGTTTTTGTACATGACCGTGATTAACAAAGCGTTGCCGAGTATAGACAACAACATGGGAAAAAAGTTATTTTTATCCCCTTTACAAAGTCGCCTACTTGTGACCATCTCCTACGTTTGAGGCGCTTGTACTGTTCACAGATTCGATGGAAGGGCCAGGGATTTCGAAGCTCCTATACTAACCCATAATTCCGATTTTTTCCTTTACGAGGCCCCTAGGAGTGTTTTCACTTCGCTTTAAGGCTTACCACGACTTACCACGTTTCAAGAGACTCCCAAACTGAGCTTGAAGCGATGAGCGTTTGATATTTCTTGTCTTATTAGTAATTATTATTCATTCACAATATTTCCCCGATTCTGATTGGCTAAAAGCACCCTCATAATGCACCATAACCAGTTACTGATGACCAAATTTGGAAGAATTTTGTGTTTAACGAGGAAATGACGTTAAAAAGGCAGCGTTCTTGCAGGTTAATGCACCGTTAACCGAGAAGACCTGGGAACGAGGTTGAGTTGTTTTGGTTGTGAAAACAAAATGTGGCGGACATTTCACTCGTTTCAAGAGTAAGAACTATGCACAATTATAGCTAAAAACATGGCAAGAACAGCAAGAACACAACTCGAAGGGCGACATCTGCTATTTGAAGAATATTTGCGGAGCTGAACAGCCCTAAATGTGCACTATCGAAGGTGAACTTAACATCGATGGAGGTAAGCATGTTTTAGCTTTGTTTTTAAACTAGGAATTATTTTGAATGAATAATAAAACAATTATTGAATTCGGCTTTCGTATCATATGAAGAATTACGGAGATCTCGGAGCGTGTTGTCCGCCTCGGCCGAGAACACCCTCCTCGATCTCCATAATTCTTCATAAGGTACTCAGCCTCGTTCATTAATTGTTAAATATTTGGTCATCTGCTTTCGGATGAGTGGTCAATAACTCGCATTTTCATTAAAACCTAAACTCTTTGCTTTTATCCTCTTTGTCTCAATCGCCAATATTTGCTTAGCGCACCTTATTTCACGTGCCTCCTCTCAAGCTTATCCGTAATGTCAATTTTTCACTTTTTAAGAGGGCAATGCAATGATTGAAACTTCCAAGAGTTATCATGTTAATCTCACTAAAATAATTTAGACAGTTGCAACTGACGACGTCGATTACTTGTACGTATTTTATTACACACAGGCAAATTAATGCCCCAGTGTAGTTTGTAGGACACAGGCAAATTAATGCCCCAGTGTATTTGTTAAACACAGGCAAATTAATAGCCAGTGTATTTTTGTTAAACGCAGGCAAATTAATGCCCCAGTGTATTTGTTAAACACGGGCAAATTAATGCCCCAGTGTAGTTTGTAAGACACAGGCAAATTGCCCCAGTGTATTTGTTAAACACAGGCAAATTAATGCTCAGTGTATTTTTGTTAAACACAGGCAAATTAATGTCCCAGTTTATTTGTTAAACACAGGCAAATTAATGCCCCCGGGTATTTGTTAATCACAGGCAAATTCGAATGCCCCAGTGTATTTTGTTAAACACAGACAAATTAATGCCCCAGTGTATTTGGTTAAACACAGGCAAATTAATGCCCTAGTGTATTTAGTTAAACACAGGCAAATTAATGCTCCAGTGTATTTTGTTAAACACAGGCAAATTAATGCCCTAGTGTATTTGTTAAACACAGGCAAATTCGAATGCCCCCGTGTATTTGTTAAACACAGGCAAATTCGAATGCCCCAGTGTATTTTGTTAAACACAGGCAAATTAATGCCCCGCTGTATTTGGTTAAACAAAGGGAAATTAATGCCCCAGTGTATTTGGTTAAACACAAGGAAAATAATGCCCCAGTGTATTTGGTTAAACACAGGCAAATTAATGCCCTAGTGTATTTTGTTAAACACAGGCAAATTAATGCTCCAGTGTATTTGTTAGACATAGGCAAATAACGGTATTTGTAAGACACAGGCAAATTAATGCTTCAGTGTATTTGTTAGACATAGGCAAATTACGGTATTTGTTAGACACAGGCAAATTAACAACCCAGCGTATTTTTGCTGTATTTGTTAAACACAGGTAAATTAATGCCCCAATGTATTTGTTACTCCCAGGTAAATAAGGATCAATTTTTCGCTTGGAATATCACTTAGCATGCCTATAAATTTAATGCTCAAGTTTACAAATATTTCCTGAGGAAAGATCCAGATTTTTTTGTAGGCCGGCTTATATTTACATGTATCGGGTTTATAACACACAAAGCTTAACATTTCTACGAGTAAAATGATTGTCCTGTTCGAAGCTTCTTGGCTTTATTGATAGTAACGCCATAATGTTTAACAGTTTCA